TTTCAGACAGCGCCGTAGAAGGCGTCGAGATGTCTTTCCCACTCGAAAGTGACACTTCGACAAGCTTGGATGTAGCCTCGCTTGTAGTTGTCACAATTGGATTGGCTTCGGTGTCTGCACTTTTCGTCATTGTCCACAACGTCGATTTTTTGGATGATGCAGTCGACGTTTGGCCTAGACGACGCGTGGATGTCGAGAAAGAACCCCTTGTCACAGTACTCAATGTATTTTTGACTCGTGTGTTAAGTGTTGTTGATGGCACCATTTCGAGATATGCTCTGCAACTAATCGCGCTCCCTGTCGTAATTGCTTCCATATTCCATGTCGCCGGCGGCAGAAGCGAAGAAACATATGGAATCGTGACTGTTTGACCCGGAACAATTAAGCTTAGTCTGTTCCCATAATTAAGCTTTGATATGTCTTCCACGGCGACACCAAGGTGTTCTGCTGCATCGATCGCATACTGATCCTTTTGGACTATCCACAATCCCTTGCGCTCAGGTTTACACGCGCTTACCACAGCGGCGCAGGCAAAAAGTAAAGATAGAAACATTTCGGAGAGCAGCTATAATACGAAGGCGAAGAGATCTGCGAGCTTGTCGTGCTTTTATAAATGCGTATCACCGGCAGAGAAGTCCATATTTGGATCAGTGCGGAGGCCATTTGCGGAGGCGACAACTTCGCAGTCCTCGGTAGTCTGCGGCTTCCTAAGCACGCGAGTACAGTAGCCTTATCTCACAATTGTTACAATAATTGAACCAGCCAATTCGAGGACCAAATCCTGCACCACGGACAGCGCCTTTTGGCTCAAGATAGCAGCTGTTTTCTGTCTTCAAACAACTTGATGATGTGAACGCAATGGAGCTATCTTCCAAGCCTGCTTGAGCCTTTGACAAGGAATCAGTTCAAAGTAGCGGCATGTTCAAGCGTGAAGGCCCCAAGTCTATCAAGCTAGAAGCGGCGAATATGACGAAAACGAACCTTCAGAGGACAGTTGAGACATTCGGCAACGTGATTCAGAAGATTGAAGAGGTATTATTAGACTACAGTTCACCCAGCAGCCTCAAAATGAGCATATATTTTGCGGATTATTCCCCCGTTCAATTTCAGGCTTCTCGTTTTCTCGACCCTGGTCCTGTCGGAGCTTGATACACACGTAATCCCGCAGAGAGTGCTAGCCTTCCGTAGCGTCATCGCGCAACCCGTCTTGACGCTCAAGCTACTGCACTACGTAATGTGAAGTTACGGGTACACTTAAAACTAAACTCGCCTAACGTCAATAAAGAGGTATACCATTTCGGGCGTGGTCGTTGCGTCGGTGTTCTAAAACTCGGTGATGTTACCCGGGACGGCGGAAAGCGCCTAGTGGGCATTACGAAGGTTAAAAGATAGTCATTTGCATTTATTATAGGAATGGGAGCCAGACAAAACCCCAACAAAAAGTATTAAATGTGAAGCGGGTTACGATGCTTGCGAGAGTATTAAATGATTGAGCACATGAGATATCTATTTTTGTCCTTTGCGCTACTTCCTGTCCTTTTTGTTTCCTTGCGCTACGTCTACCTAAAATCGACCCATACGATTCTTCTAATTCCTCAGTCAGGTGAAACCGCGTAACTGATCTCAATCACGACATGTTCCCTCACCATAATGGCCGTCGCTGTTGGCCCCGTCTTGCTTTGGAGGAAAAACATCAAGGGTCGAAATGGAAGTTCGCAGCAGAAACTCCGACGTATTCACTCGGCAGCCGTCGGTGTCAATTGATCAACAACCAACGGCAGCAGCTGACGTTGAAGACCCTTGAAAGACGAATGACAACGCAATCAGCAGCGTGCTCGCGGCCTGTTGGGCACTCTTTCCAGTCAACCCACTTCCTGGAATGGGGGCAGGAGTTTGGCGCTTCTCGAAAGATGACGAGATATGCCTCGCCATGGGTCCGTCAGCCCTTCGTTGAACTGATGAGATTCGGGTGGGGCGATAGCTTCGCCCACCAAAATGGCTCTAGATGTGACACTGCACAACTTCCATGTTATGTGGCTCGTTGGCCGTCCCATGAAGATCTCACGATGCCTCTTCTGAAGCGTTTAGCCGACACCGACACAAAAGCAGAAGCAGGAGAAACCCCCGAGAATCGGAGAATATCAAGTTATCGGCTTCTTCTCGAGCATGTTGCCAAATCGGGTTGTCTGCTGATCAGCATCGGGTTTCTTGACTGGAGGGCAGGCCCGGAAGGAAACGAAGTCTTTGACCGACGGGCATGGGAATAGTGTAAGGCGCACACACACAACGAAACAGAGAGTGAAGAACGGGGCCAGTAATGCAATGGATTGATCTCTGACGAGCTCCTCAGAGACTATGCGACCCTACTTTATAATCACGAGATGCCTCCCAGCCCCGTGCTTTTCTCTGGAAAAGTCACTCCAGCCAGTAGTTGGAATTAACCAGCCATCTACCGTGGTCAAGCACTTTAGGCGCGTGACAAATAGGGAGCACGCACTGTCGTTGGTATAAGGGAAAGGAGCGAGGGGGGTTTAAGGGTTGTTTTGGACAACATTCGCTATTCTACTCAGACTCAGTATCCATGACAAGATGGCTACATCTACTTGCCTCTTTCCCCCACGCAAGTTGGCCAATATCGCTCGCAGTGATATCCTCGGCCTCTTCCAACGCCCGCTCTCTCTGGAGGTCGTCAATGAACATCCATGTTGGCTTCCAAATGGCATCGTATTCGATTGATCCGTTCGATGCCTTCGGCACCTCTCCCAAAAAGTCGAAATGCGCCTCTTTCGAATACAATATAAAGTAGTATCAGCAGCGCGTGGCGTAGATTCCTCCTCCGCTAAGTTCGGCGCGTTTTGGTTACCTCGGACTTTTCGGGGCCGTAGTCGCTTCAGGAAACGCCTGCATCAGGTCGCTCGCTGCCAACGACACGCAGGAGAAAGCGTTACGAGGGCTTTCATCCAAGGTGAATGGAGCTATGTATATTTTACAGTCGAAAGGCTAGTAATGGCAGCTGCGTGGCTGCTGCTAACGATAGCAGCAGCCCAGACATTTTCTGACTGCAGCGGAAAGAGAGCTTTGGCGTTACTGCGCTCTGTACGCGATCAGTAGCTGAACGCGGGTGAGTTTGGGCGTGCAACTTTGAGGCTCCCGAACTACTCATATAGGTCGAGTAGATCGGCGGGGTAGGTGTCGACCGACATCTACCTCCGTCGGCCGTCCCTATCGCGCCACATCGGCATAGCCGAGAGAAGACAAGAACAAGCAGCGGCGTGAGTATAAGCGGTGCTTTTCGTGCGTATTGTGCCGCGCAAGCCTCTAATGACAAGATCAAGATCAAGGTCGCGAACAGCTTCGTCTACAGAGTCGTTGTCGGCGCCAATACGTCCATTATCAATTGGGCTGTCGTTAGGTTCACGCCAAGGTATCAGGTCGAACGAGTTTTCGGGTTGATGAGAAATACAGTCTAAGTGACGCTCATATTGAAGGTCTCACGAAGAAAGTCAGCAGAAAGGGCCTATGATGCAGAAATGTGTACAGAGGCAGCCTTCAAAAGTTATCGGCCACGCTAAATTAGACCCTGTAAGGAAAAAGGAAGTAGCAAAGTAAATAGAGTGCCCCGCACGCGATTTTGTATGGCAGCCGCCCCTCCGCCTTTCTTAACATTCCCGATAACAATAAGGCGAAAAACAGATATCGCGACTCGAGCCCTCATTGTGGTGCTTCGAGGCGGCGGGAAATCGGCTGCTGAAGTTACTGCCTTGACTGGCGTGCCTCTTAGAACAGTTAAATGTATCTATACACGAGCTCTTCAACGCGGCTTTAAGCCAGATGCGCTGCCCTTGACCCTTCGAGACGAGTGGCTCTAAGATGCCCCTCGTTCTGGCTGTCCCTCTAAGCAGCCTACAATCCAAGATGAGGTTCTCACGAAGGTCGCCGCGATAGATACGGAAGGGAAAAAAACTACGTTGATATTGCTAGCGAGCTGAGCTTAGCAGGGCACCCGGTCTTAGCAACGACTATATGGCGAGTCCTCCGCTTAGCAGGCTTCCGGAAGACGAAGCCTACGAGGAAGCCAGGCTTAACGAAGAAGATGCGAAAAGAACGACTAGCCTGGTGTCTTAAGGAGCTACCGCAAGAGAAGATACAGGCTTGGATTGAACGAATCCCTCGTTATGTGCAGAAAATAATTAAACTTAAGGGCGGCAACGAATATCGCGAGGGCAGGCTAGATTAGGTATAAGCTGGGAACGGTGCTATAGTAATTTGGTTGCTACTTCCTTTTTCCTTACAGGGTCTAATTTAGCGTGGCCGATAACTTTTGAAGGCTTCCTCCGTAGTTGTGTGTATTTTTCTCTCTCTCTTTTGTTTCTGCCCTAAATCCAAGCCCCTATTTATATCCCTCTTTCGTATTATAGGTATAGGTTTGAGAGAGGCTGGGGACCCCCAGCCTCCTCGACTAAAAACGCTCCAGTCTTTTAATAGGAGCTTTCCAGCCTTCTCGTTAGACCCGGTTGTCAGCTCCCTTGTTGGCCTAGCTACCCATGGGTGACCTGGCTGACTCAACCAAGAGACGTTCTTCGCGACAGAAGGAGGGTGATGAAAATGAAGGGCGGGCCCCTGCTAGTGCTCACCGTAGATGATTGTGAATTAGCGCTAGTGCACCAAGTTTGATCCAGTTGGTGGTGACCTGCTACAAACCCTGGCATATCAAATAATGGGGTGTCACAGGTCCGGGCCGGCCGACCGGTCATCCGGTAATCGGATTACCGCCCCGCCCCATGCAAAACCATGTCGTTTTCGAAGGCCCGACTGCGGGGCTGGCGTTTTCTTAGTCGGATTACCGCCATCGGACGGCAAAATCGAAGGTCCACGCCCGGGGGCCCTGCGCGAGACCTTCGATTTCGGTCTCGCTCACGCGCGTTGCGCTCCCCCTCCCTCCTCCCCCCCCCTCCTCCCCCTCCTCCATTGCCACCGTCGCGACGGCGACCGCCTGCACCATGTCGAACGCGATAGAGGATCCCCGGGTCAGGGCGGCCATTGAGCACTACCTGTTAGATCTGGAGAACACCCAGCCGAAGAATACGAAGCGAAATTATCGTCCCAAGCAGGAAGAATGGAAGGCAAGCCCGCATGCGCGCCCTGCAATCTTCATGTAGATCCATGCATTGACCGCCTCACAGGAGTGGTGTCAAGCCAACTGGCCTGCGATCCCGGACGTTTGGCCGGCCTCGGTACCACAGGGCCAACAGCTACCGGGAGACCTGGTCGATGAAGGAAAGCTCTTGCTCTTCATGAAGGAGGTAGTGGCATCACGTCCTCCAAAGAAAGGAAAGAGGGTCGCCGATGAAAGAAAACGACACCTCGAGGCTCAGGAAGCCAAGAGGGCCGTGAAAAGACGCAGAGCACCATCAGGTAACAGATGTTGATCACGGGATGTGGTCGTCGGACTGAGCCAGCCCATCATACTAACACCCAGCTTCCCCCAGCAGATACCATCGTTGTAGGCGGCGGAGGTAGCGAATACGAGTCAGACTCCGACTTGGAGTTGTATGAGTCCACGCTCAAACTACAGTATAATACTGTACGGGGCTACGTCTCGGCCATACAGAAGCTTTACGACGAGCAGAAGAGCCGGGAGTCAATCCTGCGGCCCGGCCACAGGAGTGGCACTGAAGGCGCTCAAACGCAGCATTCTTGCAACGACTTGGAGCCGGAAGAGGAAGGAATACATGGACAGGGGAGTTGGAACTCTCAGAGATGTGTATGCGCCGGCGCAGATACCCGACCACACCAACGTGGCATGGTCCGAGAGGAAAGAGATCGCCTGCGCCCTGAGGACGCAGGTGGACTTTCTGCTCGGGAACCACATGCTGCTGCGGTCCGGCAACCGCCTGCCGATGGAGTTGGCAGACTGCTTTCCCCTGGACTTACCCAACGAGGGCTGCAAGGCCCAGGGGTATACCACGAAGGCGCTGGTTGTCGTGATGAACTGTGGGAAGACCAACCAGCACGGCCGCATGGAGTATGGATCTGCTCTGCGGCATCGAGATCCGCGGTCTTGTCTCATCGGCGCCCTCGCGTTCTGGCTTTTCTGGCGCTGGCAGGTAGAAAAGGCGGAAAGGTTTCCCGTCTTCCAAAGAAGCGAAGACTGGTATGAAACGAAGGTGCTCCGCCGATCGGCGAAGGAGCCTCAAGGTAAGCGTGATGGCATTCACCGGAATCCCAAAACTCAGAGGGTGCATCGACCCTTTCACTCACCGAATATACAGCTCCGTTGTCGGGCCAGACTGCCCGAGAATGGACGTCCAGGTTCTACAAGAAGGCCGGCATCAAGGTCTCCAAGGTCAGCCATGCGCCTAGAGTGGCCGCGACGCAAAACGCCGACATGGCCGGAGTGGATGAAGGCCAGGCATGTCATCTGCCCTAGGCAAGCCGCGCCAACCCCCTGGCCTGGGCTGACCCGAACTATACAGATCCGCCGAGCCGGTCGTTGGAATAACGGAGACCAAATGACCGGCTGCTATCTGACTTCCCTGCCTTTCGAATTCATGAGGGCCGTGGCCGACTTTGACCCTGAATAGTCGGGGTCTTATTTCGTGCCCCGGGCCACCGTAAGGCCGCCTGTGGTGCTACTCGTGCAGGTCTGGCCTCAACTCGACAAATGGAAAGAGGCCCACAGTAGCCCTTTCTCAGATCTGGGGGTGGAGCAGAACATGGCCGCCGGCGCCTTCTTGGAACTCCTGGAGTGGCTTCGAGAGGTGCTCCTGCAGGACGCTGTCTTCCTTCGCGAGTCCTACCCCGACCATCCTATCTTTCAGGATCCGGTCTTCTCTTGCCCCGAGTTTGAAGCGTTCGCCAGCAAAGTTCAAGACACATGCACACGGGACCACGAAGACAGCCATACCACGGTCATTCAAAAAGCGATGCCGGTGGTTGCGGAGAAGCTGCGCACAGTACTGACTCAACAGGTCGCAGCCGAGCAGTTAGCTGAGCGAAGACATCTAGACCTTTTGGGGGCTTCTTACGAACTATGCACAAAGTTGGATGAGTTTGCGCAGGCCACCTACACCGTCACCTTCAGCCCCGGCCAAGGAGCTGCAGGTCAACATGCGGAGATCGCGGGAGCTCATCAACAGAGGCGCCGCGCTCCACGAGAGACGGTCCTCAGGTCCGAGATAGGCCCTTCGCAAGCGGGCGGTCCGGCATACGCTCCGCTCTCTCTAGAGCAGCAGCAGGGAATGGTGCAAGCGGGCCAGGGGCAAGCCCAGGGAAGAGCGCATGGCGAGGCTCTTTGGATAAGTTGTTCAAGGCCATCCGAAAGGACAGGCAAGGCGAAAAGGGACACAAACGTGCGTCGGGGCAATTCAACGTCGGTGGTAGCGAAAAGTCGATGGCGCAGTGATTTTGAACACCCGTCTGATAGAATGACGAGGACCTTGGCGGCGAAAGTGCCCCAGGCCGTCAGGGCTGCGTCGCTACAGTCAGCGGTAGTGGCCTGTAGACAGGGTATGCATCCGCTAAGCGCCGCTGTAGCTCCAGCGCGTCAAGGCTAGAAAATGCTTCAAATCACCGCAACCTCGCAACCGACAGGATGTAGGACCTTAGACAGGGTGCATTCTGATCGCACAAACGCAGGCTATCCAGTCGAACTGGTTTTCTCGTCGTCGGTCCCGGCTTTCGCGCTTTATGGCGCTCCGAAGATGACATCAACCCGGCAGAGGTGATGTCAAGGGCAAGCGGGTAATCGGCGGTAATCTGCGGGGTAATCCGCTGACCGCCCACCAAAGCCGGACCTGTGACATCCACTTGATGTCAAACCTTGCCACGCTAAACCTTGCCACGCTAAACCTTGCCACACTAAACCTTGCCACACTAAACCTAGCCGTTTTAAACCTCGTCAATTGAGACTCGACAACTTCTAAGCTCGCCGATTCATACCTCTTACTTCTGTTGAGCACAAATTGCCCACACAGCATAGACAGTACGACACACGCATGGACCTCAGTGTCTTATTATGACTGTCTCGATTCGGTGCTGATTAGATACTATCCTTCGTCACTAATCACCTGTACTGGCAAAAAGAGCACGATTGCCCTTTCAAATGTTTCACACAAACCTGCAACGTACTGCGTATCTATGGAAGAACATGGTGCGCGGCCCAATAATACGGCGGCATTTTGTACGCAGTACTACCTAGCGATCGTGATATTGGAGTAGCTCCCTCCTAACTTAGTTCCCACAAGCAGAGTCTTCAACGACCTTCCAGACGAATACACTCTCAATATAACGAGCTGGTAGAGACATACACGAATTTAGAATCCCTAAGTTTGTCTTGGTCTTCTTGAATCTCAGTTGTTGGGAACCTCGACTTTGTCTTCCTGTTATCCGTGCCCTGCGGAAGAGACCACTCCAAAGATACGGATAAACGGTCGATGATTAACAGTCTTCGTAATCTGTCCTTCTTTCTCTTCGTCTTCATCTTGACACGACCAACTATAAAATGCGCCTTATTTTCATGATCTTATACATCTTAGCGGCCAGGCAACGCTCTGGACGGCTGTCACGCGCCTAAAGTGCTTGACCACGGTAGATGGCTGGTTGATTCCAACCACTGGCTGGAGTGACTTTTCCAGGGAAAAGCACGGGGCTGGGAGGCCTCTCGTGGTTATAAAAGTAGGGTTGCATAGCACCTGATGGAGCTCGTCAGAGATCAATGAATTGAATGATTGACCCCCGTTCCTCACTCTCTGTTTAGTTGTGTGTGCGCCTTACAACGGCTCAAGTCGATCTTGCTTCCGCTATTGTTACGTCTTGAACGGGTGGCGCCGAAGGTGTGGTACCTTTGCTCCTGGCAGGTTATATGCCATGTGCCGCTAAATATGATATTGTGTTTGATGAATTCGTGAAAGAGGCTGGCCCAAGTTCATTCAAGAAGCATGTCACGTGCCAGCTATGGCAGACCTCCGAGACATAGCGTCAGAAACGTGGATGCTATTACTTAAAGGACCCCGCCTCTCAAGTGTTGAAAGGGCTCTTCAGAGATCAACAATTCAATCATTGGTCTCCGTTTCTCACAGTTTCGTCGTGATTATGCTCCATATAAAGCAGGTGCCTAAGTATTGTCTATCTAGAGCTAAGGAAAACAGAAAGCAAGGATTGAGGCGCAGTCCCGAGTGTGGGTTTATATCGCCCATCGAAGAACATTCTTGCAGCCATCGGCTCCGCAGAGCGGAGCCGGGGCCTGGGACCTGAGGCCGGGGCATAACCCACCGGACCCGGGACAGCCGGGTCCACCAAGCCGGGCACAGCCCGTACCAATCCGTCAGTCAGGTCCGCGTCTTGCCGCTCTCAAACGCATAAGTTCGTGTTCTCGGCTACTTCGGGTCGAAAGGCGTTTCCTTTGGGCACTGCATGAAGCGGTGCGTGGCTTGTTCCTCTTCTTTCTTGGCTCCTGCACCGCGAAGATGCTGCTAGTTGGTCATTCGGCGTGACAAGGCTAGAAGAAAAAGAGTCATATCGAAGGTCTCCGTGATTTGGCTCCAAGGCTTCATTCGCTATGAAATAATTATGTGAGAAACAGTATGTGCAGAAGTTAATGGGTCGGGAAGAACTGTTACCTTGGGTCATAGAAATGCTCTGTGAACAGGATGGTATTTGTTCTTTGATAACTCTTCTGCATTCAGAACGGAGTGATTGAAAGTGAACACCATCGATAGCTGCTGATGTCGTGTTTGCGGAATCATCCTCTTGCTCCACCTCTGAACCTTCAATCGAGAGGGTTCGCGAGGCCGCGAAGTGCCTGGGGGAGCTTGTAGGGTGTTCATGCAGTCTGCCCTGCTCTTGCTCCACCAAACTCCTAAATCTGTCCAGTCTCTCCTGCTCCAGAAGCGAGTCTCGTCTCAACTCTTCGAGTCTTGCATTCTGGTCTCGCACTTGACGGCTTATCCCGTCGAGCCTTCCCTGCTGCATCACTTCCTTCCGCGCCAACTGTTCAAGCCTCCTACTTTGGTTTCCCACTTGCTGATGCGTGCTGTGGAGCCTCGCTCGCTCCAATTCAAGCTCCTGCCTTATAACAGCCAAGCTTACGTCTTCTTCATCCTCGTTGTGGGCTTTCCGCTGAATGTTGCTTGTTCTTCCCGCCCGGTGTCGGTAGTTGTCATCGCTACATCATCGCTTGTAGCAATATCTGTTATACTAACACTTCCGATTGACGGTGGTAGTCCGAAATAAGCGCAGTAGACGGACCACCGTACGAATGTCGATGTTATTTCTTGACAGTCTTTATTCACACGCACCAAAATCTCAATTCGCACGCACCCCCCCACATTCAGCCACAGCATAGCCACAAGAACTCCGACTTCGCCAACGATCCCGCAGACAGCATTCTTGGGACTTGTCAACGCCAGTTATGAAGCGAAGGAGATATATCCATTTAACTCCTGTGTTGGAGATGCTTGTCACAAATTCCAATCTAGCATTTCAGTAATCCTTCTATAATTGAGCCCTAATTGTACAATAGGATTTGGCAGGAAGTCCTATTGTAGGACGTCCTTCCACGGTTCCACCAGGCTCATGGTGTCACGCGCCTGGGACGTAGCCTGTAGGCCCTGCCCCAAGGGAGTGAGACTCCGTAACAACACGGAGGAGAGTCCGTGGAAACACGGAGGAAGCTGGTGTATTAACAGAGGCCTCGCTCCCCAACCTGTTGGTGAGTGGCCAGAGATCAACAATTGCATCGATCGCCTCCGTTCTTCACTCTCTGTTACAACGTGGCTGTGCGCCTAACACATGAGTACTTCCAGTACCTGAGGTTATATCCGTACAGTATTCTGAAAATTTGCAGATAGTGTTTTCAGTTCAGTTGAAACAAGAGTAACTGACAGTCTGGAAGTGGCTGGAATACACCAGCTTCACTAAGCACAACAGGCTCACAGCGCGACCTAGCAACGTTCAATCGCCATGGCTTCTCCAGCTCTGATTCCGGCGCTTCCTCCGACGCTTCCCGAACCAGGTGGAGAGTTACCAGTCGATTCAGCCGATGAGTTCAGCGAATCCAACGACTGCGACGATTTCCACGACAACGACGACTGGGATGGTCAGCCATGGGAGGTAGTGTTTCCATCGGACTCTCCCCTACTGACAACAAGCTATGAGTCTTTTGATCGACTCCTTGATGTCTTGAAAGCGTTCTGCATTCAGAATCGGATGGGCATCGTTACTATACGAAGTCAGAAGGATAAGGCGAAGAAGCGAACGATAAAATATGAACTTGCATGTGACAAGAGTCGGCATTTCAACCCAAAGGCATCCGTGGCCAAAATTCGCAATACGAATACAGCAAAGATAGCCGCCAACTGTCCATTCAAAGTCATCGTTCAATCCTCCAGGCCAACAATTACGAGTGGTCCATGAGAATTGTGAGCTCTCTTCATCGAGACCACGGCCCATCGCAAAGTCTTTCGGAGCACTACCATTGGAGAAAGTTAACGGCGGAACAAATGAAACTATTGGAAGATCTTTGTCTGGACACTACGATTTCTTCTCGATCCGTTCATAAGCAGCTCTGCCATAAGTGGCCCAAGATCCCTGTTCGCAGAGCAGATATTTATAACTGGAGATGGAAAGTCAACCAGGCAAAACGTCAAGGCTATGGTCCCGCCAACGATTTTGTTAGGACGCTTTCTGAGTCGAAGAAAGTCTGGATATGGGGGCTAGACTGGATCGAAGATGAGTTCCGTTTTCGCCACGCCGCTTGGGGATACCACCAGGGCGGCAAAATGTGGCAACAGTTCTCGTCGTGTCTCCAGATCGATGCTACGTACAGTACCAACTGCTATAAAATGCCATTGGTTACTGTTGTAACTGTGTCCTCGGAGAAGACATCGATGCCTGTCTGTTATGGTCTACTCAATAACGAGCAATATGCTAGTTTTGAGTGGTTTCTAAAGCAGGTATCTAGATTCCTACGAGCAGGCATCATTAGATCCCCAGAGGTCGTTATCACAGACATGGACGATCAGCTGCGCAATGCCATACGACAAATATTTCCCAACACGCAACTTCAGCTATGTGTTTTCCATATCAACAGCAATGTGGTCTCATACATCAAGAAGTGGTGGAAGAAGGATAATGACTCTGATCTGGACGATGACGCAGAAAATTGGGACAATACCGATGCTCTTGACGTCCAAGAGATGGAACGTGAGAATACCGAGGTGAAAACATGAGGGACGCGAAGCTTGGTTCTCTTCCCAAACGAGTCCTTAATACTGTGCCGGCCTGTATCTCCTCTGGAGATTCATGGTCTATAGCAGATCGGAAGAAGACTTCATTCAGGCTTGGAAGCAACTTCAAGAGAGCTTTCCGCAGCAGAAGCGAATTCTCCGATACCTCAAGGACACGTACTTGCCACTGAAGAAAGAGTGGGCCTGTTGCTTTACACGATATTATCGCAACTTCGGACTAATTACTACATCACCCGCCGAATCAAATCATCATTCCCTGAAGACGTACCACCTGTCCCTTCGGTCCGACCTCCCGGACGTCGAAGCGGCGGCTGCTAGTCAGACGGCGGATAAGCGTCAACTGTATAAAGATAAAATACAACAGGCTAATACCACTATTCGGAACCAGTTCTCGGGAAGAGAATGGCTCGGCCAGCTCCCCCTAAACGTGACTCGTTGGGCGCTAGACCAGCTAAACGAGATGCACCGAGTTATGGAATCGAGCCGGGTCTCTAAGAAGGCACTGCCGCAATGTTCTGGATCCACGAGGGCTCAATACGGTCTACCCTGTGCTCACAGGCTCTTGGAGCTAGCTCGTCGAAAGGAACCACTCAAGAGGCAAGACCTAGATCCATTCTGGCATCTCAAGCGATCACGAGACATTGATGATCCTCTCCTTCAAATACAACGTCCTCTAATGGGGATACCTAAGGGTCGACCACGCAATGGCGAACCATTTGGCAACGAACGCGCAATCCCAGAGAAGCAGCTAGCCCCTCAAGGCTCAACACGGAGTGGCGTCCAGCGCTCAGCGCGTCGAAATTACTCTCAATTCGAACTGGGGGCAACGCTGGAGGAAGAATATGCAGCAGACGCACAAGACAAACCGCGACGTCGGCCGAAACGGAGTAAAGTTGTCGAGTCAGGAAGCACTCGAGTTACGCGCCGACAGGCGAAGACACAGGACGACAGCAGCAAACGAGCTGAACGGTGTAACTCTTCTGAAATGACGCAAGATCTGGGAGTAGCAGACTCGTGGCTTGCCAACGAGGGTGGTAAAGATACGGTTGGCGACAGCATTACTGTTGCAACGAATTAGACTCCTGCTCGCCAAGGAGTTGGAAATGTCAGACATCCGCACCAATGGTTTATTGGGCTCCGATCTCGGAGGCGCTGTGGCTGCATGTGCGGCGTGCGAATTGAGATTTGGGTGCGTGTGAATAAAGACTGTCTATTTCTTTTCGCTCGACGTCGACCTCATCCTGCATCTGAGGAAGAAAGAGATGAGCTTTGTCATAATCATGATCAAGAGCATTCGGTCGGCCGTATCGCTTTGGTGGCTGGTCGTGTTCTCTGGTAACCTCTTGTCCCGCAACCAGTCCGCTGCTTCTAGGGCTAGGTATTGCAGCTGCGAACGCACCCAGGATCTGCTGGATGCATTCTTCCTGGTCACAATAGTGATACTGATCGGGCTTACGAGCTGTAAAAAGTGCTTGCTCGGCAATCTGTCGATCAATGGGCTTCTGCAAGATATTACTGATCTTGTCAGAGTCGAACCCAATCGAAAGGCAAGAGAGGCCAGTTCATACAAAACTGTCTCATCTGCCTTCGTCCGTGATAGTGCTAGGATGTCTTCTCGCTCTGCTCGATCACTGCTCGCTTCAGCAAAAGCAAATCGTGGGGCTTCGGGGTGATGAAGTCGAAATACAAGTATCTGTAAATAGCTTAGTGTCGCGATCTTCCAGGGTAGGGACCGGTCTAGGTCTGTCGGTTTGTTAGCCACACTGACCCTCACAGGCCATCCAGGGAGAGACATGCTCAAAGCTATGATCAGCCGCCGGTCCTATCAGCCGGCACTGGACCCTGACGTACGCCGGTTTATGAGAAATTGCAATGTATGCGGAAGAGCAACGTTTGGAGAGAGAAACGGCGTGGCCTCTTGAAGCCACTACCTATCCCTGACCGGATATGGTCCGAAATCTCTATTGTCTGAGCGATGAGGACGGCTCGTTTCTAGGTAAGCTTCTGGTGCCGTACGAGAGCTGACAGCAATATTCGGAGCAAAAGCTCACTGGGCAAAGACGTTCGAGTACCACCCCATCTCAACCTCATTAATCAACCCCCATGTATCCACCATCTCGGCCAACTTGTGATCCATTCTCTCGACTGCCAAAACCTCCGCCACAGTCCTGTACGCCGAATTAACCGCCTCGATAATCCAAGCATGTCCTGAACTCAACGCCTCGCCAGCAAAATGTAGCTTCCTCGGCGGCTGGCATCATCAAAGCCGGCAGCATGGAGCTATACTCACTAGGGCCGAAAATGGCAAACGCGCCCACTGTATCTTGGCCTTCGTACCAGTTCCACAGATGAGAGTCGACATACTGCGATTCGAGGAATTCATGTCACGTTGTGCATGGCGGCGAGGTTCCGAAGGGTGATTTCAATGATTCTTTTCCGCGCGTCGTCGTGCGTGTAGTAAGCCCCCAGGCGAGCACTGTCTTGGCCCCAGGTGTAGGAGGCGATCATAGTCCCTGCTGCGTCGGCGGTGTCAAGACCGTAGGACGGGTAGACGCAACGGCGGATGGGGAGGTCGGAGAAGGATTGCCCGCCTTGAAAGGAGCCTGAGTCAAGCCTCTCCCACCTACAGGTTAGGAGTTAGTTGAGCTCATGGCAGGGGAATGATCAATACACACTATCGGCTCTTGAACTTCATGTCAATTTTACCAGCAGGGTCGTACTGGAGCCTTCTGATGGCGAGCTTCTTGCGGTAGTCGAGATCTAACTCGGTCATGTCCATTACTTGCATGGCGCCCAGGGGCACAGTGTTGATGACATGATTATAGGTTCTCTCTTCATCGCCATTGATGACAACCTTTAAAGTACCGTTGTCTGCTGCCTTGATTGCTGTGACTCGTTTTGTGGTCTCGACTGTCTTACTGATGATTTTAACCAGTCCGTCAACGATGCGGCCCATATCGCCTTCAACGCTGTCACACAGAGTACATCAGCCTCCAACAGTCTGAAACCCTGACTCGCACAGTAGTCACCAGTTTAACAGTCACAGAACCTTCCATCAGGTTCTAGTCGTTCACTCGCATCGCCTATAAAGATGCAGCACATTATACACTCCAGATAGGAGAATCAAGAGTCTTCCAGTCCCTGATCTTTATGCTCACTTGCTCATCCTCCGTGCGATAAACGCATTGCCAGCTACTAAGAGGGGCCTCGTAAAAGATCCACTGTTCCATAACGGCTTCTGAAAGAGAATAGGTGTCGTAGTGTGTGGTGGCGTCGGCGATTGTCTCGATCCAGTCTATCTGCTGGGGAGAGTAACCTTTTTGGAGCAGGTACTGCCGCACGGAAATTGCGTCGTATTGCATTAGAATATTAAATCCTGTGTCGAAATCTGTTACCAATGCTTGCACCAAGTTGTTAATCGCGCCACTAAGCACAACACTAGGCGACAGGGCAGCGAAAGTGCCGTTGTTAATAGTTCCGCCTTCTGAGATCAAGATGTTGAAGTTCTCCGCGGAAGGGTTAGCTTGGTTAGAGATTAATTTATTATTGAATAGACGGAATGTGTTGTTGGTTTGAAATATGTATGGAATCAATTTGATTGGCTGGTCTTCTAGCTTGAGCTTCGAGTTAATGTAGGGAATCAGTGAATTATTGGCCCTTCCTATGATTCGGTCCATCCACTCCATGCCGGGGAATCGCATAGCTCCAACCAACATCCTATCCCAACTGTCAGTGACTTCAAGGCAAATCAGCACCCTTGCGACATACGTACAATGTTGCGCACATGGAGCAAGTTGGGGAACCATTCACTGCGCATGCCTGCCTTGCGATTCATCTCCGCAGCGCTCCTCGTGCTCGCCTTCTCCGCCGCTTCCGTCCATTTCTACCTGCTTTCGCTGACGGGCGGCGACCTCGAATGGATCAAGCAGCACATGGGCACGCTCGGCGTCGAGCTTGTGCTCAGCGTGCTGCTGTACAGCGCCGCCATCACGCTCGTCTACACGCTGCGGCTGCCGAGGGCCTGGCGGCTCGTGCTCGGCGTTATTCTTGTGGTCAAGCTGGCGCTGGTGCGCGCAGCCGACCGGGGCGAGTCCTTCGCCCGGCACGGCAACTACAACATGATCCTCTTCGTCGTCCTCGCCGTGCCGCTGAACCTCGTGGTGTTCGCCACGGTCCTGCTTTACCGGAGCACGCGGCATTTCTGGCGCATCGCCGGCGCCTTCGTCGTCTCGCTGCTGCTGCTCACCAGCGTGTCGCTCGTCCGTCAGAGAGCGCGCTGGAGAGCCGGATTCCTCGGGCGCGGCTACCAGCCCGATGCGGCGGCGTGTCGGTTCCCGAGCCAAACTGGCCTTTATTGACCTACCGCCTGCGGGAGCCCAGAATTTCTGGACAGGCTCCCAGAGCTGTCCCTGCCGTCCATCGACTTCGATGCGCGGCTCACGCAGCACGACGCCCTCCTGACCATCGACGGATGCCCGCCGGGCCTGCCGGTTTCATATGACGTGCTGCCCGACACGCGCAGCTGGCCCGCGTCTGAGAAGAAAGAGTATGTATTGAACCGGATGATTGTCCAGCGCACGGTGCGGCGCGAGTATACCGGCCGGGTGCGCCTCGACGTGCGGTCGACCGAGACGGTCATTGCGAGATGCGGCCACGAGGAGAAGCTGCTGCTGCGCGTCGCCCGCACGCTGCCGCCGGCGCGCGTGAGCCAAGGACGGACCGAGACGCAGCGGCCTAACATACTGCTACTCTCCTTCGACGCCGTGTCCCGCCGGGGCTTTCACCGGCGGCTGCGGCGCACATCCAAGCTGTTGGAGGAGCTGCACGAGCCTGGCCGGCGTCAGCTCTACCAGTTTTTCCGCTCGCACGCCGTCGGCTTCAACACCGACGACAACAGCCGCAGTATGTACACGGGAACAATACGGCGCAGCGGCGTCGACCCTGTCTGGCAGCAGTTTCGCGACGCCGGCTACGTCGTTGCCCACACCGACACCTCGTGCCAGGATTGGTCGTCCCAGTATGAGGACCGCAACACGTCCATAACGGCCGTGGACCATGAGATGCTCGGGCCGGCATGCTGGCCGCCTTACTTTGCGCTCCGAAGTAACCCATATGGCAACTTCAACGGGCCCTTCAGCATTAGGCGCCGCTGCGCCTTCGGAGACTACGTGCACGCCTGGAACTTTGATTTCGCCCGCCGAGTCCGCGACGCGTACCCCGACTGGCCCTCGCTGCTCTCAGTCAACTTCATCGAGGGACACGAGGGAACCGGCGAGGTCCTCGCCACCGTCGACCGTCAGCTGCACGACTTTCTCGCCGAGCTCCGCGATGACGGCTCCCTCGACAACACCATCGTGCTCTTCTTCGCCGACCATGGCCTGCACATGGGCCTCAATTTCTCTTCACGCAAAATGGCCGCATCGAGCACCAGAACCCAGTGCTGCACATACTCCTGCCCGCACATGTTGCGTTACGGCTGCACGCCAAAGACGGCAGCGACGGGCTCTTGGCGAATGAGCAGGCGCTCGTCACGCACTACAACACGCACTGCACACTGCGAGTGCTGGCCGACATGGAGCAGTGGCCTCCGTCGCGTGACTCCCCGTACTGGGACATGTCGCTGTTCGAGCCGCAGCCGCGGAATCTCACGTGCGAGGCGGCCGGTATCAGGTCGATATATTGCCAATGCGAGGAATAGATGCCAGCAAGCCCCTTGCGGTCGTTTGGCTCACATGTGAATTACATGTATAAGCGATCGTTAGCCGTTATATGTACATAGTATTGGATTTCAACCCATCACCCTGTCGTCTTCGCCTCGCTCTCTGCATGTGTGACGGGTTGGCAGCTAGCACATCTTTTGCTCTTGGGAGACATGTGAAGGCACCACCGCCACAGGGCTTACCACTACGGCACGATGAGTGCGGGAAGTTGGCATATGTCCCATCGAGTCAGGCCTGATACGCAACACTGAGTCCATGTTAAACCCCATTATTTATCTGCCAACTGGTCGTGTACTTGACAGCGACGAGCACTCGTCCTATTTGTAGCCTATTGCCTGTCAAGCGATACTCCGCCCCAGCCGAGGAGGCGTCCCAACCTACATGGGCACCGTTCTTGTGTATATAAATAACTGGGACCTTTGTCCCCTTGACTTGGGCAGTGGTCAAGGCCAATTGACTCTCCATAACCCTCACATACATGGCATCTTTCCAGTTACATGTGACAACTGGTATGATTCGGTATACCGGTAATACCATGGTATCAAGTTTTTGTCAAACCATACCAGGTCTTGGCGGTATTTACCATACCAATACCAACTCATACCGGACCATTCCGATCACTGTCCGGTGGACGGCAAAGACTCAAGGGCTCGTTGGGCTGTCCAAGCGCGAGTTCTGGACTTTGTTTTGGAATGCATTCGAGGCGTCTTTCTCACCGGAGAACGTTGAAAGTGGGTGGATGCGGACCGGGCTCCTTCCTTTCGATCCAGAAGTCGTCCTATCACAGATTGTGAAAGACAGAATCGACGATTCCGATGTAGGCAGTGGTTCGGAAGACTCACTAGAATTGCAACAGCCTACTGCTCGAGAATTACGACGGCTTGTGGACAAAGTAGTCGACAAATCCACCGCAGATTCGGAAGTCAATGCTCGGAAGCTGAAGAGCACTCTAGAAAGCCTTCAATCCGAGGTTGAGCTGCTTAGATATGAGAACAAGGGACTCCGTGAGGCAATCATTCATGAGAAGCAGCGCAGGCAGCGTGGTACAGCTCTGAAAGATTATCTCTTTGACCGTACGGATCCTAACTCTGCTCAGGTCTTCAGCCCGCAAAAAGTGGCCCAAGCTCGAGTGAAGAAAGCTGCGATGGAGGTCCAAAAGAAAGAGAAGGCTCTCGAAAAGGAATCCCAGAAGGTTCAGCGACAGCAGAAGGCGGAAGAACAAAAAGAGGTCGTGTTGGAGAGGAAGAGGCAGCGAGAGGAGAAAAGGGAGCGAAAATTGCAGGAAAAAGAAGCCAGAAAGCAAGAGAAAGAGGCTAACCGACAGTTTCGTGACGACCTCGGGCATCTTAACCGGGAAAGGCCGCAACAGGGGCAGCAAAGCCGGCGGGTGCCTTTTGATGCACGAGAGGAGAGTCCAGGGATTCTAGACGAAATAATCGTCGCTCCTCCGTCACCATTAGAGCTTCCGGTAACATCGCAAGCGCCAGATAGGCCAGAGAACGACTTAGCAAAGAAGGCAAGGATTCCGCCCGGCCGAACGCCTCGTGCCCAAAGACCTTTTCTGGCTGTTGAGAGTGATCGGGAGATGGTAGTGGTGTATCGGAGCTCGGGACGGCCGCAGCGGAATAGCAAGCGACCACAATGGCTTGATGACTGCGAAACAGGATGATGCACATCTCGCAGTCGCTTTTTCATCACATTTTAAGTTGGACAAATTTTGGCCCCGTTGGTATGGAGTTATTGTGGATTGATGTCTAACTTTCAGTCGCGGATGGATGGATGGATTTATTTCGCCCGGAGGGAGGTCCCTATAAGGCCTTTACACAATCTAGTTACATTTCAGCACGTTTGGTACCTGACTCCCCAAGCCCCACGGATTGTCGTCATATCACTTGCTTTTCAGCCTCGTTATCATTGGTCCCATGACAGGCCTGCTTGAAGGCCGAATTCTCCAAGTGTTCAGCATCCTATTCGCAGCAGCTGACTTTCAGTCGCGTGTAAGTCCGGCGGGTCACGGGATCCGGCAGATCATCGGAAAATCCCTTACGCCTACCGGTAAGGGATTTTCCGATGATCTGCCGGATCCGGGGATCCGCCGCCACTTACACCGACATTTGTCTCAACGTCAATCCGGGACAGCTCAACAACAATGGCGCCGATTGACGAGGCTCTTGATTTTCTGAAATCTTCGGAATCAGTTAATTATGCCGATACTGCACGGAAATTCAACTGTGACGAGACTACGTTGCGACGGCGACATCAAGGCAAACAGCGGTCAAGACGTGATGCCGACTCATTGTATAAATCACGGCTGTCAAAGCAGCAAGAACGAGATCTTATTGCTTATATTCACAAGCTTTCAGCACGCGGCATTCCGCCTACCTTGTCTATGATCAAGAATTTCGCTCAGGATATCGCGAAAGTGGAGGTCGGAAAGCATTGGTCATACAGCTTTGTTCATCGCAACCGCAACGAGCTAGGTTGCAGCTGGTTCGATGGATTTGACATTGCACGGAAAAGAGCCGATAATACCTCTAGGTATAAGGCATATTTTGAGCTTGTAAGTTGGTCTACAAAACCTCAGATTCGTTACTAATCGTGGAAGATCCGAGCGAAAATCGAGAAATACGACATTGTCCCTTGCAACACGTATAACATGGATGAAAAAGGCTTTCTCTTGGGTGTGATCAATCGAACTAAGAGAGTCTTCACCCTTGATCTCAAAAAGCAAGGCAAATTGCTCGGCGCATTGCAAGACGGCAATCGATCCTGGATTACGTTCGTGGCTTGCATCTGCCAGGACATGACATCACTGCCTCCTTTTCTCATCTACCAAGGCAAGCCAGGACAAGTCCAAGATTCTTGGCTTACGGACTTTGACCCAGAGCATCAATCAGCATTCTTCACAACCTCAGAGACGGGCTGGACTAACCACGAGCTTGGGAAAGAGTGGCTCGTCGGCGTTTTTGATCGGTTTACCAAGGCAAAAGCACGAAATGGACGTGATTATCGCCTTCTTCTTACCGACGGACACCCCAGCCGTATTAATATGGGCTTTCTGGAGTGGTGCGACCAGCATCGGATCATCGTGGCGGTGTTTCCTCCTCACTCTACCCATCGGCTCCAGCCCTGGACGTATCCCTATTCAGCCCTCTGTCAACGGCATACACAAATCAGCTTATCCGGTGGACGGCAAAGACTCAAGGGCTCGTTGGGCTGTCCAAGCGCGAGTTCTGGACTTTGTTTTGGAATGCATTCGAGGCGTCTTTCTCACCGGAGAACGTTGAAAGTGGGTGGATGCGGACCGGGCTCCTTCCTTTCGATCCCGAAGTCGTCCTATCACAGATTGTGAAAGACAAAATCGACGATTCCGATGTAGGCAGTGGTTCGGAAGACTCACTAGCATTGCAACAGCCTACTGCTCGAGAATTACGACGGCTTGTGGACAAAGTAGTCGACAAATCCACCGCAGATTCGGAAGTCAATGCTCGGAAGCTGAAGAGCACTCTCGAAAGCCTTCAATCCGAGGTTGAGCTGCTTAGATATGAGAACAAGGGACTCCGTGAGGCAATCATTCATGAGAAGCAGCGCAGGCAGCGTGGTACAGCTCTGAAAGATTATCTCTTTGACCGTACGGATCCTAACTCTGCTCAGGTCTTCAGCCCGCAAAAAGTGGCCCAAGCTCGAGTGAAGAAAGCTGCGATGGAGGTCCAAAAGAAAGAGAAGGCTCTCCAAAAGGAATCCCAGAAGGTTCAGCGACAGCAGAAGGCGGAAGAACAAAAAGAGGTCGTGTTGGAGAGGAAGAGGCAGCGAGAGGAGAAAAGGGAGCGAAAATTGCAGGAAAAAGAAGCCAGAAAGCAAGAGAAAGAGGCTAACCGACAGCTTCGTGACGACCTCGGGCATCTTAACCGGGAAAGGCCGCAACAGGGGCAGCAAAGTCGGCGGGTGCCTTTTGATGCACGAGAGGAGAGTCCAGGGATTCTAGACGAAATAATCGTCGCTCCTCCGTCACCACCAGAGCTTCCGGTAACATCGCAAGCGCCAGATAGGCCAGAGAACGACTTAGCAAAGAAGGCAAGGATTCCGCCCGGCCGAACGCCTCGTGCCCAAAGACCTTTTCTGGCTGTTGAGAGTGATCGGGAGATGGTAGTGGTGTATCGGAGCTCGGGACGGCCGCAGCGGAATAGCAAGCGACCACAATGGCTTGATGACTGCGAAACAGGATGATGCACATCTCGCAGTCGCTTTTTCATCACATTTTAAGTTGGACAAATTTTGGCCCCGTTGCTGTGGAGTTATTGTGGATTGATGTCTAACTTTCAGTCGCGTGTAAGTCCGGCGGGTCACGGGATCCGGCAGATCATCGGAAAATCCCTTATAATGCAGCATAAACACGTCAGCCACGGCAAAAGCTCTCTCTGCCTTGCCTGTCAGGGCTTTAAAGCTGGGCAGCCAAGATCACGGAGTCAACGCAAGCCGTTGGGCGCAGCTAGCAGCAATAGCAGCAAGAAGCCGGCCACAAAGACTCGCAAGGGATGCGACCAGTGTGATGTAGCGATTTGTACCCGGCCGGCTTGCTGGGACTTCTACCATAGCCTAATTTGCTAGTAAAATAATGTACCCTTAATCGTCTAGTGGTCTTATTGGCTGAGATCCCTGTTCGTGACCCCTTTGCTCCTCCTCCACACTCAAAGGGATCCGTCTCTTTCTCTGACGAGTAATCAAACATACACTCCTGATTTTCAAACATACACTCCCGACCTAAGCCCCATTTGGAAGAAGACCCCGCCACCAAAATTTGGCGCGCGCTTTCCCAACGCCCTGGCTTGCCGTGACCATCGCCGCCGCCCACCCGCCCAGCCACCTGCCTTTTTGGCCGCCATCTGCATTTTCGCAATCATCAACAATTGAAGCTATCACCACTTGACTCAACACAACAGCAACGCCGCCGCCGCCTACCGCAATAGTCACGTCTAGTCAATCGTCCCGATGAATTCGACCGAAAGCAATACCAACAGTAGCACCGAGGCTATCACGGAGATGTCTTTCGATACGTATGATGAGGCGCTTGAAACACTCAAAGCTACGCAAGAGCTCCTTGGCTACGTCGTAGTCGTTGCAAATAGCAAGAATACCGGCAAGCCTAGGCGCAAGGAAGCCAATATCCGCTGTGAATACAGTGGTCAGTATAGGCCCTGGGACGAGGCAGAGGGTATATACAAGACGTCATCCAAGAAGTCGGGATGTGACTTTCGCTGTTACATCCGCTTCTACCGACGTTGCAATGCATTCAAAGTCACCATCAAGCACGGCTCTCATAACCACGAACCTCTATTTGAGCCAATTGCTAACCCCATCGTCCGTCAACGAAGCCAACGCAAATTCGGCATCGAGCGTCTTCATAGCCTCGTCGAGGGGCTTAGCAAGAACGTCAATAACAAGAGCAGGGATATCGTGGATGCTATCCGACAGGAATATCCTGAGCTCCTTATTACCGATTCTGATATACACTTCATCCAGCTGCAACTTCGTGCCTTCCGTTACGGCGCCTCTACATCTACACAAGCCTTCCTCGATGTACTCAAAGATGCTAAAGCAAAGGGGGAAATCAGCTACTATGCAGTTGACCGTGGCCCTAATGGGAAGGTTTGGAGGTTTTTCTGGACATACGATGACTGTATTGCTGACTGGAAGCGTAACCCCGAGCTCCTTATCATGGATAATACGTATAAGGTCAACCGCTTTAACATGCCGCTTCTACAGATCATTGGCACAACAGGGCTACACAAGAGCTTCAGTGTAGGCTTTGGCCTCACTGCCAAGGAAGACGAAGGCGCGTTCCAATGGATCCTCTCACAGTTGCGTGAGGCTGGTCGGCAGGCTGATATTCCGGACCCGGGCGTTGTGATTACCGACTTTGATACCGCCCTGAAGAACGCCCTTGACTCTATCTTCCCATCAACGCAACAACAAGTGTGCGTTTGGCATATGATGAAGAACGTGATCCTTCACATCAAGAAGAAGTGGGAAGGATCCCTCGATGGCACCGAGATTGGCGGAGATAGGCCAGAACAGGAGACTCGCCTCGCTGCAGCAGCCGCTCTCGACGACCCTATACAGGCAGATAATGCCATTGACGAGGACCGACCTATCGACCGTGCCACTGATTACCAGATTCAACATGCCTCACAACTGGCAGATCAGTGCGTTGAGCAACAAGATGATCGTGAAGATGACGATGGAAACCCAATACTAGAGGGCTCGCACGGCTGAGGAGTGCAGAGATCAGTGGGATCTACTCTGTATAGAGTTTTCGGATCAGCCAGGTAACCCTAGCCCTAACTACCCTCCTACTCTAACCTTTACTAAATAGCTCCTCTTATAGCTCTCGTTAATTACCTCCGTACAACCTACTGGCCATGGCGTGCCCAGTTTTCCACCTACGCTATCCAACAGTACCGAAATTATAACATTACGGTAACTTCCCGTGTGGAGAGCACACATCACGAGTTGAAGTCACGATTACGCAACCGCTTCATTGACCTCCATCAGCTACAAGAGCACATCAGAGGGCTCGTTACCCATCGGCAAAAGAAGCATCGCGAGAAGCTTCAATCCGAGTTTGCAAGAGCTAGAGTTGAATGGGCCAAGCAGACGATTATGAAGTCACTGCACCGAAAATTGGCTGGCAGCCGATGAAACAGATCTTCAGGCAAGTTAGGCTAGCCGGGCTGAGCTTGCCGATAATCGAGGCATGCCTACGATTTGTACGGGTGCTTTCACGATGCAATGGGGGCTGCCCTGCCGGCATACAATCCGCGATTTGATCCAGGCTGACGCGGCCGCCCTTATACCATTGCATCTTATTGATAACCACTGGCGGGTTTACGGCGTGACTGTAAGTATCTTGCTCCAGCCATAAGTACTATACTAATTTACTAGCAGCCTGAACAACAGCAATATATCGATGCAGACCACGAAGCCGATCCTGACGTTGTCCAGCCTCGCCGGCGTGGAAACAGTAGACGCGAGGTATCCTCCACTAGAGGCATCTACGGGCCGGATCCTTAGTGCTTGGGAGCAAGAGGAGCATAGAGCCAACCCAGAGCTCGTATCACGGCCACCAGAGACGCAAAAGAAGAAGAGGAAGGGCACAGGCACCACTATCATGAACAAGAGGTCGAATACACTTGCTTCCGTGAGCAGCCGGGTTGACGATCTTGCCCAGCAGATCGGTGATTTCATCAAGTCACAAGCAGCAGCAACGCCGGTGCTGTTATCACAGGTGCCCTCACTTCCACAGGTGCCGCTGGTGTCACAGGGATACCAAACGACGATGCCCTCACTTCCACAGCCGGCGCCGCCGTCACAGGGATACTATGTGATGCCACCGCCTACACCAATTGTGCCTGTATACGTACAGGCGCCGGCGCCGTCACAGTGGCAAGAACCGCCTCCTCGTCACAGGCACATCACGACGGCTTCATGTGGGCACAGCCGCCGGCACAGTCTCACGAGACGGCTACGGAGCATTTCCAGCAGCTAGGGATCAGAGGGACACGGCACCATACAAAACTAGCAGGCAGGCCGGTCACAAATTCGTTCCTTACGTGCCTCGCCCTCCGCCGCGTCGGACGGATCCTTCCTCACAGTCACAGTCACAGTCACAGAGGTAGGCAAAGACCTTCCGCCATTATATGCATATTGTATATATATCGGAAGATCGATCGGGCCGGGCTTATTGATAGCTTCAATTGAATGACTCTAAGGGATGCATCTTCCGGCGTTGGTAATAATTGCAGATAGAATCCATATATGTCAGACAATAGTGTCCCACACCTCGCACGTGACAGCGGTTGATCTTTGTGGCATCAGTCAATTGATGAGAATTATCTAAAGAACAAAGGAAAGGAAAAGAATTGGATGCACACATTCGTGCAACAATATATACCCCGATCATTGCGGCGAAGCCGCGGCGCAGCAGTGGCAGTGATCGAGCATAAGGTTTCAGGAACTGACACGGGCGTGATATGCGACAATATATCTAGGCAGGCAGCCGCGGCAGCGGCGTTGGGAAAGCGCGCGCCAAATTTTGGTGGCGGGGTCTTCTTCCAAATGGGGCTTAGGTCGGGAGTGTATGTTTGAAAATCTGGAGTGTATGTTTGATTACTCTTCTCTGACGAGCCGCAATCCACCACAACAGCCCTTTTTGGAAGGTTGCCGCAAAGAAGGCGCCTAAGGCCCCGGCTAAGCTAGTGTAATAAACTACTACTACTAACTACCCCTGGCCTAGAACGTATATCAAGATTACCGCGCCGTGGCCGCCACAACTGACTGCCTTATTACCAGGGCATTCATACAGGCATTCTTTTTTCTCGTCGAGTTTCTTTACACCAGACTTGACCAAATCAGCCTTGTCACCGCAATAACACTCATTGCTATTCCTCAAGCCAGCATACTTGTAATCAGCTTTCTGACACATGCCGACGCATTTATCCGGGGTCAGGTCTTTATAATGAAACTGTTGGGTCGTGGGTATTCGTGCTGTGCACAGGGGTGATAGAGAATACGAATCAAAGGTGCTAAAGAGCTATGCCTGTGACTGTTGTATTGGTAATCTATGAAGAGAAGAGAAAAGATGAAGAAGAATGAGGGGAAGGAGGAGAAGAAGGAAGGAAGGGAGGAATGAAGGGAGGCGTGTAACCCCGGTCCGAATGTCTTCCGAGACCCTCCTATAAAGCCTCCTTCTCGCGTAGGGCCAGTAGAGCCCATGTCCCCACATAATGAAGTCCTCCGCATCTAGACAGAAACCCATACTTAAGATAAGGGAGAGCGACCTTGTTGCCGTGACCGAGCTCGTAGCAGCCGTAAAATTTCCATTCACCAATTTTGCTTATGAATTGGGGAGGAGTCTGGGCGATGACAGCTGCTGCAATAGCGAAAAGGGTCAAAGTCTCAGATCGCATTGCAAAGTTGACCTAGAAGAAAAACAGGAGAAATTTTATTTTTTTTGGCTCGGAAGGGGAGGGAATTTAAAATCGTTGAAGAAAGAAACCGTAGTTCGAGGAGAAATTTTTTGCGGGAGTATAATATTTATGCTAGAGGAAGCCGTCGGTGTACTTCGTACATTCTTCTGAAATTCAATTGGGTGATAAATATGTCCCAATTATGTGCTGAGTTCCGACCCGTCATACTCTTCAGGCTGACTTCTGGAATATTTATGCATGCTCATGCAGATGTAGCTGGTGACCATACGTCAACTGTTTAAAATTTGAATGGTGTTTGTGACTGACTGGAGGGCCTGCTGCTACGCAAGCAGATTTCGGCTGATATCACATTCCTTGATACATCTCACTTAGAGTTAGGATCCGCCTTTGCCCTTTTAGATAGCCCGCTGATCGAGATTCTTACTTCTACGGACGCTCGTCTCCCGGTTACCAAGCAGCCTCCTCGCCTCGTTATTCTAAACGGTGCTGATCTTCTCTTCATTCACTAACCAGCGTGTTCACTACGGATGGACTATTCTTAATACGCTCTGGCGTCATCCCTAGCATTTCTTCTAGGTATTCTCCCTACTACTACCCGTGCCACGCCCCACTTTATTTGGAACTCGCAAGCTCGCACCACCGATATAAAATGCCAGTAGCGTATGCTGACCCGTGGGGCTTAAGGTGTTACGCATTAATGTATTGAAATGTCAGTAGCTTTTACGTCTAGGCCCTATAGGAGAAATCCTCCGGGTGAAATACACATACATACATATAAAATGCCAAAGCCTTCGTTCCTGTTCGGTGGTGTGGTTATATCGGTCGTGAGCACCACAAGTAGTAGCAGTAGTAGTAGTAATATTGATTACCGTCTGGGCACCTTTCGGTGGTAGTAGTAGTAGTAGTATTGATTACCGTCTGGGACATCCCTATACGAGCAAAAGACGTGCTAGGCTAGGTATAGTACAAGATGAGAGTGCTCGCCGGAAACCCGTCGCGCGTTCCTTACTTCTACTCCCCTATCTAGCAATTCTGGGACTCTGTGGCCGCTCGGATTCTCAAGTCCCTTCCCCCGTCAGCGGGTTCCGGGCACGGCGGTGAAGCCGTAATATTGGTCAGTCTTCGGTCAGAGCCGGGTGACTGAGAGAGCCCACGCAGTCAGCTGGGCCGTAGGCCCACGGGGAGCCTACGGCCAGAAAACGTAGAAAAGAGATAATTGTACATATTAGATTGGGTTGCCTCGAGCTAGTGGCGGTGGCAAATCCGATCAACACCTTTCGGTGGTGCGAGCTCGCGAGTTCCAAATAAGGTGGGGCATGGCACGGGTAGGAATCCTTCCATGAGAGGTTGATAAGAGCTAACTTCAAATAATATCTAGTCTATGGGTGCATTTTTGCGCGTTCACTCAAGATAGTGGTGAATCAATATTAGAGACTTGTTACAAGTTAGGATTAGTAAAACGCTAAGAGGACAACTAATGGGGCGATCTTGGCCGATCCCTATAATTTGATGAAGCAGCACTTGAGGAGCGGAGTGGTACCCAAGGCGGGGATTTAACAGGCTGGATTCCACCCCATTAGAACGTCACAACTTTTGCTTTCAATCTTGTCTATGATCGAGTGATTGTTTGCCACTTAAACTCCTAGAAGAATTTGCTATTGAGCTTACTTTCGTCAGAATGAGGGCAATAGTTGTTTCTTTGGCTGCCTCTGCTGTACTGGCTTTAGCGAGTCCATTCACAGACGCACAACCGGGCACAAAGCTGGAGAAACGGGTGAGTAGTAGTAGTGTGCCTGAAGGAAGAACTTGACTGCGAGAGACACGCTGATATAGCCGGTAACTCTAGTGCGTAAGTGTTTATCCTGTGATTTGCGACGAGTCTTGACTACGGGTCGAATGCTGACATAGTTGGTAACTCTAGCATGTTAGTGTGTCCCGCGAATGGCGATTAGTCTTTAACTACGGATAGCACGCTGATATAGCCGGTACCTCTAGTGCGTAAGTATTTATCACGCGCTTGGCGACGAGTCTTAACTGCGGATAGTACGCTGATATAGCCGGTAACTCTAGCGCGTAAGTGTTTATCCCGCAATTGGCGACAAGTCGACTGAAGGCAGTACGCTAATATAGCCGGTAATTATAGTATGTAAGTGTTTATCCCGCGATTAGCAATGAGTCTTGATTGCGGGTAGTGTACTGATACAGCCTGTTACTCTAGAGCGTAAGTATTTATCCCACAATTAGCAACGAGTCTTAACTATGGATAGTATGCTGATATAGCTGGTAACTCCAGGGCGTAAGTCTCGATTCCACAATTAGTGACGAGTTTTGGCTACGAGTAGTATGCTAACAAAGCTTGCCAACCTAGGGCGTAAGTGTTTGCCCTTCGCTTGGTAATGAGTCTTGAATGTGAATAGTACGCTGATATCTTCGGTAACTCTAGTATGTAAGTCTTCATTCCACAATTATCGATGAGTCTTGACCGCGGGTAGTATGCTAATATAGCCGGGAACTATAGAAGGTATTTAAATATTCATCCCACTATTGGCAACGAGTCTCGATTGCAGGCAGTATGCTAATAAAGCCGGTAATCAGGGTGGCGATCAATTCCACCTCCACCTCCACGTCTTCAATAATATTGAAGTGGAAGTCACGTGTTTCAATTCAATCAATTCAATATCACCTGCACATTGAGAGCTTCAATCCACGCCTCCGCCTCGAACGTTGACCACGCGTTGAAGCCGTTGAAGCAGGAGGTGATCTAGGTAGCATCTACACTTAGGTACCTAATCGAGTCGCGTCTGACGCGCGTGATTCGCGTGATCACCCTCAAGGTTAGCCTTAGTTACCGTATTGAGTGTTGTAGTACTTCCATTCCATACTGTTTTCAGATGTAACGAATGTATAAGTACCTGGGCGATTGAACGCGTTTGGGCTGAAGTTCCCGAGTCGCGTCGCAGAGAAACCTTCCCAAACGAATGCATCCCCTTCCTGCGGCCAAATGGAAACCGACGTTCCTACTAAGCCCCAGCGTGCTTCAGACGGAGGCTCATCCAGCAAGTCGTTTGTTAACATGGATGCTTTGCAAGACGAATGGAGCATCTTCCCATGGAACCATTTTCCAGGTTATACGATTTCCGAGCGTGCTGGCAGGCAGACTTCGTGGGTCTGGCAGCATGGTTTCGACATTCAACCTAGCGATTCTCCCACGAAAAGAAAATGGGTTTGCAAGCCCTGCCTCAAGAAGCCGAAGCAAAAAACATCAGACTTCTCTGCCGCTGGCACTCAGAACATCGAGAATCATCTGTTCAAAGAGCACAGGCTTGTCGATCTGTCCGGGAAGAGGGGGCGCCCGCTCTTGGGAAAGGAACCAGGACAAGACCCCGTCAAAGAATATTGTGGAGATGTTGAACCTCAATGCTTCAGACCCCAAAGAGCAAGGTATCGCGAACGCCCTCATCCAGCGCTTCGATAAGGACCATTTTCAGAGACTTCTTCTCGAGTGGGTGGTCGACGCCAACGTCTCCTTTCGTCAGCCCGAGCACTGTCGCCTCCGACATATTTTCGAATACCTGAATCCATCGGTCGCAGTGACGAATGCCCACATCTCGCACGATACCGTTCGAAAGCGAATTGTTGACCTTTATACCCGATACAAGACGTGCGTAATCGACAATCTAAAGAGCACCCGGGCCAAATTCACATTGCGTTCGACGGCTGGCGTTCCAGGAATCGGCACGCTTTATACGGGATTATATGTTTTTACATCGACAAGGATGGAGTTCCATCAAAGCTTGTCCTAGGCATGCCGGAGCTGAAGATCTCACACTCGGGAGAAAACATTGCAGCCCAGATCCTCGAGATCCTAGAGAGCTATGAGATCCTCGACAAGGTGGGCTATATTACACTGGACAACGCTGGCAATATGGATACGGCGACAGAGGAGATTGCAGAGGCACTGGGCTTTGATCCGAAGAAGCGGAGGGTGCGATGCTTCGGCCACGTGCTCAACTTGGTGGTCAAGGCGCTATTATTTGGACACAAGGCCGACGCGTTTGAGGCAGAGATTAACGGGGAGCCTGTTCTTGACGCGGTCCAGCATGAAATCTGGCGAAAGAAAGGCCCAGTCGGAAAGCTCCACAACCTAGTAAATTGGATCCATCAGTCCGATAAGCTGACGTACCGGCTTCGTGCGCTTCAGGAAGAGTCCTTTCACAGTCGGACGACCCCAAGGTTCGAGCGAAGAACCCTGTGGACGTTGTCCTTGATAACCTTACTCGTTGGCTTTCGACTCTTTATATGATACGGCGCGGCCTTGAGTTGCGGCCTTTCTTGGAAGACCTGACTGAGAAGGTCACGCTTGAGTTCAGGAAAAATGCCGCAATGGGATGAGAAGGGCAAAAGAGATGCCTTTGTCTCTCCGCGAGGAGAGTCTTCTCAGCGATAAAGACTGGAAGGTCATTGGGTTGATGGATAGGGTGCTTGTTGACTTCGAAGAAGCACCTGAATGCTAGAAGGTGACGCCCAGAGCCGAGTTCGAAAAGGAGGCCGCATTGAAGCATACGGAAATATGTGGACGTTGCCTCAACCTACGAATTCCTGATGGACAGACTAGAGGAGTGGAAAGCAGTAGCGGAGAAGTTCCCCGATCCAGAGCACCTCAAGGCTAACATTAATCTGGGCTGGGATAAGTTGAACGACTACTATACGAAGCTTGACGAGACGCCAGCATACTATGCTTCTGCTATTTTAAATCCGGTTTCGCGTTGGGGTTATTTCGAGAATACATGGACTGACAAAGCACAGCTCCCCTGGCTACAGGAGGCAAAAGGAATGGTGAGAAACCTGTGGGAGGAGGAGTACAAATCGCTGCCGATCCTCCGATGCCTGACGAAGAGCGTCCGTACAAGCGACTGAAGGCAATGAGCGCGCTTGAGAGACACCGAGCCCAGAGGACTTCGTCGTTGCCCAACGAATCTTCCTCTTTGGAAAGTTCACTGAATCCGGACCATGATGAATATGACCGCTGGCTGTCGAGTGCTGACGCTGAGAATGATCCTCTCGTCACCAACCCATTTCAGTATTGGTGGCAGAGGCGGAAAGACTACCCACGGTTGTCGCGGATGGCTCTCGACTTGCTCTCGATCCTCCCATGTCCGCAGAGTGCGAGCGTCTCTTTAGTACCACTGGGCAAATGGTGTCACCGCTACGGACTCGATTGGAAGCCAGCACGATAGGGATTACGCAAACGTTACGGTCGTGGGTACGGAATGGCCTAATCGACGCCGTGGATACGTTGGTTGACGTGTCAGGGAGAATGCGAATAGCATTATATGGAGTCTAGGGATGATACTGGACATGCTGCCGGCTAGGCCTCGGCGACCCCATGGGCCGTACGTGGTTCAACGTCTTCAATTCAACTCCATCGCCCCCATCTGAAGGCAGGTGGTTCAACTCAACGGGACCAATGATGAATAAGCTGTCAACGCAACTCAATAATGAGGCCAAATTGGTGGAATTGAATTGATCGCCACCCTGCCGGTAATTATAGTTCGTAAGTACTCATTCCACGATTGGCAACGAGTCTTCACTGTGGATAGTACGCTCATATAGCTGGTAACTCTAGCATGTTAGTGTGTCCCGCGATTCGCGACGAGTCTTAACTGCAGGTAGTATGCTGATATATATGGTAAATATAGTGTGTAAGTGTTTATCCCGCAAAATGGCGACGAGCCTTGAATGCGGGTAGTATGCTGATAGAGCTGGTAATTACAGTGGGTGAGTGTATATCCCGCGATTAGCGATGAGACTTAACCGCGAGAGCATGCTGACATAGCCGGTAACTCTAGCATGTATGTGTTTATTCCGTACTTAGTGACGAGTCTTTCCCTATGAATCGTATGCTGATATAGTCGGTAACTCTAGGGCGTAAGTCTTGATTCCACATGTAGCGACGAGTCTTAACTGCGGATAGCATGCTAATACAACCGGCAACTACAGTGGGTGAGTACATAGTATATCCCGCGATTGGCGACGAATCTTAACTATGGATAGTATGCTGACATAGCTAATTACTCTAGTGTGTAAGTGTATATCCCGCGATTTGCGACGAGTCTGAATTACGGTTAGCGTGCTGATATAGCCGGTGATTATAGAGTGTAAGCATTTATCCCGCTCTTGACGAATTTTGACTACGGATAACATGCTGATATTGCCGGCAACTCTAGAAGGTAAGTGCTTATACCGCCTTTGGCTATGAGTCTCAACTGCGAATAGTATGCTGACAAAGTCTGCAAATCTAGGACGTAAGTATTTATTCCACGATTGGCAACGAGTCTTGACTGCGGGTTTGTATGCTGACATAGCCGGCAACTCTAGAGCGTAAGCATTTGTCCGCGATTGGAGACGAACCTTAACTATGGGTAGTATGCTGACATAGCCGGTAACTCTAGTGTGTAAGTGTTTATCCCGCGATCGGCGACGAGTCTTGACTGCGATTAGTACGCTGACATAACCGATAACTCTAGCTTGTAAGTGTTTATCCCGCGCTATGCAACGAGTCTTGACTGCGGATAGTATGCTGACATGGCCGGTAACTCTAGCATGTAAGTGTTTATCCCGCGATTGACGACGAGTCTTGACTGCGGGTAGTATACTGATAGAGACGATAACTCTAGCCTGTAAGTGTCTACCCCACGATCGGCGACTAGTTTTGACTGCTATTAGTAAGCTGACATACCCGGTAACTCTAGCATGTAAGTGTTTATCCCGCGATCGGCGACGAGTCTTGACTGTGATTAGTACGCTGACATGGCCGGTAACTCTAGCATGTAAGTGTTTATCCCGCAATTGGCGACAAGTCTTGACTGCAGGCAGTTTGCTAATATACCCGGTAATTATAGTGGGTAAGTGTTTATCCCGCGATTAGCAATGAATCTTTATTGCGGATAATATACTGATATAGCCTGTTACTCTAGAGCGTGAGTATTTATCCCACAATTAGCAACGAGTCTTAACTATGGATAGTATGCTGACATTCCGGTAACTCTAGTGTGTAAGTGTTTATCCCGCGCTTGGCTACGAGTCTTAACTACGAATAGTATGCTAACAAAACCTGCAAACCTAGGTCGTAAGTGTTTTCCCGTCGCTTGGCAATGAGTCTTGACTGTGAATAGTACGCTGATATCTTCGGTAACTCTAGAAAGTAAGTGTTATCCCGCACTTTGCGACAAGACTTGACTACGAATAGTATGCTGACATAGCCGGTAACTCTAGTGTGTAAGTGTTTATCCCGCGATTGGCGACGAGGCTTGACTGCGGGTAGTATGCTAATATAGCCGGTAACTCTAGAGCGTAAGTATCTATCCCGCGCTTAGCCACGAGTCGTTACCACGGATAGTATGCTGATATAACCGGGAACTCTAGAAGGTAAGTTGCTATCTCTCAATTGAGGACGATTCTTAGGTGCCAGTATTATGCTGATATAGTCGGTAACTCTAGACGGTAAGTAGCTATCCGTAAATTAGCGATGATTCTCGACTGCAGGTATTATGCTAATATAGCCGGTAACTATAGTGGGTAAGTGTTGATTCCGCGATTGGCGACGAGTCTTAGTTACAGGTAATGTACTGATATAGCCGATAATTCCCAGATTGTGAGTGTTTATCCCGCGATTGGCGACGAGACTTCGACTGTAGTTAGTATGCTGATAAAGCCGGTAAATCTAGGAGGTAAGTGTTTATCCTCCACTTGGCAATGAGTCTTGATTGTCGATAGTATGTTGATATCGTCGGTAACTCTAGGAGGTAAGTGTTTATCCCGCGCTTCGTGACGAGTCCTGACTACGAATAGTATGCTAACATAGCCTATAAATCTAGGACGTAAGTATTTATCCCGCGCTTGGCGCCGAGCCTCGACTACGGGTAGTATGCTGATATAGTCGGTAAATATAGAACGTATGTGTTTACCCCGCACTTGGCAACGAGCTTAACTACGAATGATCTGCTAACAAAGCCTGCAAATCTAGGGCGTAAGTATTTCTTCGCGATTGGCGACGAGTCTGGACTGCGGGTTATATGCTGACATAGCCGGTAACTCTAGCAAGTTAGTGTGTCCCGCGATTGGCGACGAATTTTAACTACGGATAGTATGCTAACAAAGCCTGAAAATCTAGGGCGTAAGTATTTCTTCCGCGATTGGCGACGATCTTAACTACGGATAGTATGCTAACAAAGCCTGAAAATCTAGGGCGTAAGTATTTCTTCCGCGATTGGCGACGATCTTAACTACGGATAGTATGCTAACAAAGCCTGAAAATCTAGGGCGTAAGTATTTCTTCCGCGATTGGCGACGAGTCTTGACTGCGGATAGTACGCTGATATAGCTGGGAACTATAGACGGTAAGTATTTTGACACGATTAGCGAGGAGCCTTAACTACGGACATTATACTAATCTAGCCGGCAACTCTAGAATGTTGGTGTTTATCCCGCGATTGGCGACGATTCTTGACTGCGGATAGTACGCTGATATAGCCGGTAACTATAGTTGGTAAGTATTTATCCCGCAAATGGGTACGATTCTGAACTGCGGATAGTATGCTGATATAGCCGGTGAATCTAGAACGTAAGTGATTTTCGGCGCTTGGCGACGAGCCTTGACGGCGAATAGTATGCTAATAGAGCTGTCACTATAGAAGGTAAGTATTTTTACTCGATTAGAGAAGAGTCTTGACTACGGATAGCATACTAAAAGGCAATTGATATACGGGCCCAACCACTTTACTACACGGGCGCTCCTTACACGGGCGGCGGTTTTTAATTGGGCCAAAAATTCTGCCGCCTGGTCCTTGCACGTGGCAGGGTCTGTAGCCCCACCACCTGGCAGAAGGGGGGTGACATCCCAGCTGCCAGTTCTGTAGTGACAACTAACTCTCCCACAACCAACTTTCCGTCTGAGCAATCATTCGGTTAAGCACCAACCGGCATGACATTGCACGAAGACCCAACTGCTGCCAACAGCGGCGACGGCTGTAGTAGATCCCTTCCGGGCTTGCCTCCATGCAAGCGCCGTAGACTTGCATCACGGGCTCGGGCTCAGCCTCCTTTCAATCCTGAACCGTATTACGGCCTTAACGACGATGATGCGTTATACAATCTCTTCGCGACATGGCCAGAAAGCTACTTCACTAGCCTGCCAAGACCACACGGCTCGTGGCGTCGACGAGCCCTGGTGGAAACTACGTCAGTCACAAATATTCTTGGATGATAGCTTCCGAGGAGGTGGGGCTCGGCGGTTGTTCACCACAGGAATTCCTGATGCAGACAAACTCGAGAGACAGCGTCTACGCTGCCTCTTGAGGGTGGAGGAAGTCGATGCCCGCAAGCAGGTTGTGGCCCGCTTCCAGCCTGCCTTGACCTTGGCCTGGGAGCTGGCGGAGACAGATTCCTTATTGGCTCGCGAGTTGGCCAAGTGTCGAGAAGCGTCCGGCCCACGGCAAGCTATTTGGGAACGTGGAGACGATTGCCACGGCCGTATTGCGTCGCCCACTCCACTAGTATCATCGTTGAGCCAAGATGGACAGGAGTACGAAGAGTGGAACGGCTTCTCCGACGCCGAGTGTGGGGATTATAGCGACGTTGAACCTATTCCCAATCCACAAATCCCCGGTACTGCAGCTCCATCGATCGAGGCCCTTCACGCCGAGGTGAACGCATTCGCAAAAACGAACGGGTTTGGCGTTGTCAGGCGAAATGGAACTGGGAGTCGAGCCAGAAAGACGCGATACGTATTGGAGTGCGATCGGTACGGTCAGCCACGCCCGTCTGAGGGGACTGGGCTTCGCCAGAGGCGGTCACGCAAGTCCGGCTGCAAGTGGAAGGTGATCGCGGAAGGCTTGGCAGAGAACAGCTATATGTGGACGCTACGAGCATTTCCCGACCCTGAGCACGGCCAACATAACCACGAACGGAGTATTAGCCTCCGCGCACCCAGTTCACCGAAGACTTACCAACCCTGTCAAGGCAACAATCGAAACAACAAGCCGGCGAGTTGGCATCCGGGCACGTGATGTAGGGGGACTTGTTCGGGACAGCCACCCAGGAACCGTCTATATGAGAAGGGACATATATAACGCCAGGGCGCTTCTGCGCCGCGAGAATCTTGGCGGAATGAGCCCCACAGCCGCGTTAATCAAGCTTTTCGACGAGAGGGGCATCCCCTATATCGCCAAGTGGTCAGAGACCGAACCTGACCGCCTTGTTGGGTTGGTATGGACCTTTCCATACTGTATCCGTATGTGGAAACGCTTCCCGGAGGTGATAAGCTTCGACAACACTTACAACACAAATCGCTTCAAGCTCCCGCTCTTCCAGGCGACGGGTCAAACTTGCCTCAAGTCGGTCTACAACGCTGCCTTCGGCTTGATCGATAACGAAAGGCGTGAAGGCTTCCAATTCCTCGCTGAAGGGATTAGGCAGTTGGTTGAGAGGCATGGAATTCAACTACCCAACGTTGTGATCACGGACTTCGACCAACAGATGAAGGCGGCACTGGAAGATCAGTTTCCAGACGCTCAACAACAGCTTTGTATCTTATATATCAACTCGAACGTACTACTTAACGCCAAGCGCAAGTGGAAGCACGCCAAGGAAGACAGCGACGGTGGCTCTAATACTGAGCAATCGCAGGCAACGTTAAATTCGCGCGACAAGGAGGCGGTCCTTGCGGCGGGGAGACAAGACGAGCCGCTGTCTCGGAGCAACGTCTCCACGACCGTACCCCACAACTACCGTGGTGTCCTTGAAATGTGGAAGCTCGTGGTTTTCGCAGAGACAAAGGAAGACTACGAGAAGGTTTGGGTGCGCTTATGCGACGAGTTCGATGACCAGGAGGCCATTCTGATCTACCTTTATAATACCTACTTGCCCCTGAGCCCGCAATGGTCTCAGTGCTTCATCAAAAAGCATCGTAACTTCGGTATTCGCGTCACGTCTGGCACGGAGGCAAGCAACAACAACGTCAAGAGCTATCTGCTCAATGGAATGAACCATCTATTTGGGCTCATCGAGGCGATAGAGGGCATGTTGGGTGATCAGGAACGAGATTTTATCGACAATTGTGCACAAGATGAAGTTTTAACCACGCGTACCTACTCTAGCCCTGGTTCTGAGTACCTGGGCGAGCTCCGCATGACTGCATCTCAACAGGGGCTTAATCTCATAGCCAGGGAACACCGCTACGCCTTGAAAGCGATACCAAGCAGGTCTCGCCCTTGGCCAGAACCAATCGGAGACTGCGGCGAGAACTGTTCCGTATCCTGGCAACTGGGGATCCCTTGCCGCCATACGATCTACTGCAAATTGGAAGCAGGTGAGTTCCTAAGGAGGTGGGATGTCCACCCACGGTGGCATCTACGGAGCCTTCTTCACGGGACCCTTACCGCCGAATCCTGGATCCCAGGATCGCAACGAGCCTTCGTGGACGACCGAAGAATACGGTACAGCCTGTCCCTACGAGTATGGTGGTTAATCGAGCGGGTAGCCGACGCCGAAAGAGTCAGACAGTGACGGGCAAGAAGACGGCCATCCTCAGGCCGGGCAAGACGACAGGCGTTCGGGCTACTGGGCGCAGAAGTCGGCCGAGCGTACGGAGGCAACGGTCGCAGGAGCTCATAAGTGATGACGAGCAAGCGCCGCGACCAAGCTCGACTGGTCGTTCGGGTTCCCGTAAGCCGCCCGCTGCCTCGGCGAACTCGACTGCACCGAACCCGCGCAGCGAGACAGGCATCAGTGAGTGTGTTATTGTTCGGACGAGCGAGAGGGTGACTAGATCCATGGCATCTTCGCAGGGTACGTTGGAAAGCTGGCCATCCTCGCGCCTGTAACGGACTAACGGTAGGTTCTGACTGTGCACATATGTCGATGTCTGTTGCATAATTTCTTCTCGAATTCTGGACCGATTCTTAGAGTACCTTTAGATAGCGTTAAAGAGCCGGACGGGCGCATCGTATTAATTCATTGAAGTAGTGATGACAAGGTTATCAGATTAGCGGTAGAAGATGTCATCTTAGTGAGCGAATGCGTGTGTTGTGGTGGTCTCACCGCCTTTGGTGGGCTGACGGGCCGTGTTGGTGGGGCTGGCCGGTCGTCCATACAGCCCGTGTAAGGAGCGCCCGTGTAGTAAAGTGGTTGGGCCCGTATATCAATTGCCTACTAAAATAGCCGGTAACTTTAGAAGGTACGTGTTTATTCCTCGATTGGAGACGATTCTTGACTGCAGGTAGTATGCTGACATAGCCGGTAACTATAGTGGGTAAGTATTTATTCCGCGCTTAGCGATGAGTCTTGATTGCGAGTATCTGCTGATATGCCGGTAAATTTAGAAGGTGAGTGTCTATCCCACGATTGGTGACAAGCCTTGACTACGGTATGCTGATAGAGCTGGAAAATCTAGGGTGTAAGTGTTTATAAAGCGATTGTCACCGAGTCTTACCTGTGGGCAGTATGCTGATATACCCGATAACTCTAGTGCGTAAGTATTAATTCCACGATTGGCACCGAGTCTTGACCAGGGGTAGTCTGCTGATATAGCCGGTAACTCTAGGGAGTAAGTGTTATCCCACGACCAGCCACGGCCCACGACCAGCCACGGCCCTTGACTGCGGATAGTACGCTGATATAGCCGGGAACTGTAGAAGGTAAGTATTTTGACGCGATTAGCGACGATCCTTAACTACGGACAACATACTAATCTAGCCGGTAACTCTAGGGTGTAAGTGTTTATCCCGCGATTGGCGCCGAGTCTTGACCGCGGATAGTATACTAATATGGCCGGTAACTCTAGGAGGTAAGTGTTTATCTCGTGAGAGGCGATGAATCTTTACTGCGAATAGTATGCTAATATGGCCGGCAACTATAGTGGGTAAGTATTTATCCCGCAAATGGGTACGATTCTGAACTGCGGGTAGTATGCTGATATAGCCGGTGACTCCAGTAGCTAGAATCATCACGATTCCTGTGAAAGCTTCTGGAGGAATGCTTTCATAGGGTACTATAGGGAGGCCTTAGGTTGTTTCAACACACCATCGTCGGACTCTCCCGGCATACGGCGAAAGATCCGATATTGGCCATGAATGGAGTAAGCATGTAGTCGTTGTATGGAGTTCTCCACTGGAGTTTAAGCTCGGCCGGCTATCTGCGGGATTCTACTTCCTATATTCAGACATCGTAAAAGAGATCAGGTTGCTTTCTTTCTCAACTCTCTCCTGTTGTGAAAGGCTAGCCCGGAGTTTAGGCCCAAGTTATCTATCCACCCACTTTCATTAACTGTACACCCAAAAAGTGGATTAACTGTGGCTGACGGCCGAAGAGGGCCGATACCGCCAATTTGTATGCACACATTCTCTACGATAAGTAGAGCCAGGTAGTAACAGTTCTCCTTCAACGATAAGGCACCCAAAATTGAAGCTATTCGTACTGCGCTTTCTATGCTGATGAGACTATTCTTTGGTGTTTACAACAGGCCTCCTTCTTCGAGTGCACTACGTGCCTGATCCGCTTCATCTAACTGTGATTCCAATTGATCCCATACATCCTCAAGGGCGGCATCGTCCGTGAGGCCAGCGACGAAGATGCAGTCTTGGGTCTCCCGCCGTACCGGCTGATCGTCATCATCAGAGACTGGCGTTTGACGCCCGGCTTGTTGATACGCCCGTTGCATCCGTGTGCCTGCCTCGTACGTATCGCCGTTTTCCTCGATGTGCCGCAGCCCTCGTTCCGTTGAAGTCATCGCGGCCGTTACCGTACCCGTCATCGCCGCTGGTGCCGTTGAGGAGGAGGCAGTCGTATAGCCTCAGCCCGCTCATGCCGTTCAGCGATCTCGTGATGTGACGGATCCCGCCGGGTTGATCTTGGCCGCCGTGACTCTTCGAGGTTGAGTGAGCCTTGGGGCGGCCCAGCCCTGATAACTTGTGGCTCGTATGGTGCCCGAGTAGGGCTTGTGCCCTGAGCGCTTGTATCGATCGGAATATACCAAAATGGGTCGAAGTCGTCGAGTGTAAGGGAGGTATTGGTGTTGATAGACTCGAAGATTCGATGGCAGCACGGTAGCCCTCGACTAGTAGCCCAATTACAAGGACATTGACCTGGCGGCGGTTTGGCCCGTTGACTTCGGGGTCTAGAGGATCTTGCGATGCTCATCTATTAGTAGCTTTAACGCATATGACGATACTCGCTCGCGGATCGGCATATACGGCGCCTGTAGGAGAACGTTGATATCTTGTGGAGGTTTCGATTCTCTATCGCTGTGATCTGAGCAGCCTGATGGCCCCAGAAGCGTTCGAATCGTTGGAAAACGGTCGTCAAATCGCCCGTACAGGACCAAAGGAACTTCTTCATATGAGAGTGAAGTCCTCGACGATCGAGGTCGTTGTACGCCCGAAGTGGCGATATTGATTAACGAAACAAGATACAAACTTCTCCTTCCAAGGCGTTAGCCACGTATTGCAACAGTATTGTATAGCTGCAAGCGGGTGGCGGCCTGGTGTCTCAAATTGGCGTAAACGTTCGTTGAAGCTATTCACATCTTGTGACTTGACGATCTCGTTCCACTCTTGTAGAAACGCTTGGAATGCCGGGGCCCGTACGACTCGATTGCCGATTTTTGATGCCTTAGGAAAATTGCTTGCATTTCGCAACGACATTCTGGTTAATATGCCACGTGCAGAGAAGGTTAGTACTGTTTTGAAGCTCGCGAAGCTATCTAACGCCTTAAGCAACGCAGTATCTCGGTCCGTGACAGTGACCCTTGAAATGGGATCGACTCCTTCTCGCAAAGGACTAGCAGCAACGAGATAGCCCAATAGTAATGGGACTCGGTCTCGCCGTTCAAGAAGATAGAGGCAATAGAGAACGTTTTGTTATCTCGAGTGGCCGCGCAGATATTCAATAACGGCATATTGAATCGGTTCGTCTTGTAGGTACAGTCGAGGACGAGGACATCGTGATGCTGACGCCATCGATGGAAGGTAGCACGAGGCGCGAGAAATAGCCCAGTTAGCCGGCCCTGGGGATCACGACTATCTCGATGAAAGAAGTCGGACTTATCTAGCCGGCCGTAGAGAAACTGAAGAGGCGTACGGCCAGCTAGTTCTTCCTGACGGTGCCTAGCCAAGGCGTTACTCACGTCTTGAGCCGTGATACCGGCTAAACGAGGATCGTCGTGAACCAGGTCACGAAGCTCGCCAGCAATATCGGTCGGCCGGGTATTGTTATTAAACTTCCGGATAATGTCGTCGCGATACTTCTGGATAACAAGCGCCCGGTACTTCGGAAAGACCATCGGGTCATCAACAAGGCGATGATTGTGAACATCGTGAAGATAAGAGATAGTCCAGTAACCGCGTTTTTCCTTCAACGAGAGGCGAAATTCACAGTCTGTTTTCTGGGTTGCTGTATTGAGGCGACGACGAGAGATATGAGCAGCTTTATCCTTCCGATTTTCGTAGGGGCCGGCCTTGATACAACGAACAAGTGCAGACTTGCGTTGGCCAGCGTTATCCCGCTTCGATGTTCGAATGTGTAGGGCGTAGCCCTCAGCCTCAGCAACGGTATCGGCGGCTTCCATCGCGGCCTGGAAGGTCGGGAATAGTGTCTTCGTAAGCGACTCCATGATTCGGGCTCGTAAGGGCAGAAACGCGGTGCGAATAGCTTCAGTTTTGATGGTATTGCTGATAGTTACGGTTACAGGATGTTGTTACGCAAGCATCACGAACTGGCCAGCTGGCCGGCCGGGAATGGGCGCACCAAAATTAGCGGCATCGGCACTGCGCCTGACCCAGCCACAGTTGATCCACTTTTTGGTGTACAGTTAATAAAAGGAGGTGTATAGATAATTGGGCCCGGAGTTTATTCAACAAGCAGGTGCCTAGGTGTTGTCTACCTAGAGCTAAGGAGGAAAGGAAGCTGAACTCGAGGCTACGCCTCGAGTGCGAGCTTATATTGCCCTTCACGGAATGTTCTCGCAGCTTCCGGGTCCGCGGAGCGGGGCCGGTGTTGCCACCGGAGCACGACCCACCGGACCCGGTACAACCGGGTCCACCAGCCGGGCACAGCCCGTGACATTACCCCCCTTCTCCCCTCCAGTGTGGCTAACAGACAGACCGTCTGACAGACCGTCTGAAGGTGGTCTGACAGACCGCAGACCGACCGACCGCCAATTCTCATCAGACCGACCGACCGGAGCAGTCAGTCGGTCTGACTGGACTGGTGTTCCCGTGATGCCATTGGTCCGTTCCGCCTTAAGGTAGCACCTACCTAATGTCAACAAGTTACGCGTCTGCCCTGCCAATTTTCGCGTCTTCCCATCCATCTACGAGCTACAGTGTATCATACCGCGTCATTATGTCTTCTAGTAGGGATACGAGCCCCGTGTCGTCTGTACCGCAGTCATTTGCATCCCGTCCACATCCCACCCCAGTTAATGACAGTCATGAGGCTACGCCTGCCACGTCCGAGGCCAGAGCAGACGAG